GCTTGATGCTGGATGGCAAAAACCATTGGTTCTACAACCTCTAACCCGCCATGTGACATGTAGAAACACACCTTTTTAGCTCTTGTAGGAGCTCAAATTTGCCATATGACATACAAAAATAAACTTAATTGGTTCTCACGCTCAAAGCAAGAATGATTAAGCTACCAATGATAAATTTGGATACTTCAAACATTGTTCAGTGATCATATGATCATTTTTATAATTCAAAACACTACATGCAGCCAGAAAAAATAAACCAGGCTCCATTGTATATGTTTGGTAATATAATTTTTAAGTCAAAGATTAAGTTCTTTTATGGTCTTTAAAGTGAAATAACTCAACATAAACAAAGGTGTTATCAAAAAAAAATAAATAAAAAGGCTTTTACAGCACTTAAAGGTTTTTGCATCTGAACTCTTCATATAATAAGCAAATTCTGAATGTAAATCTCTTTAATAAACTGTGATGATATCTGTAAGTGCTGCTGAAGTTGAGTTTTGGTGAAAAAAGCTCATTTAGAAAAAATGGTTAAAACATTATTGTAATCTACAGACACAAATTAGTAAACAACTTAAGAAAAAACTGAGCCAAACAATATTTCATTGCACTATTTTCACTGCAATATTTTCAGACCCCAGAAGGTAAAAATCTCAAAATTGAAAGGTGTATGACAAATTTCCATTCTCCTTTATCATTATTTTTTATCTCATTATGTGCATTTTGAAGCAGCAGAGTGGAGGAATGAAGAAACTGAAATCTCTCAGATTTTATTAAAAATATCTCCATTTGGAAAAAGAACACATTTCTAATGGAATCGAACAAACATGAGAATGAATGTCATTTTTTATTTTGCGGTGAACTGATCCCCAAAGGAAACACCTCTAATTAGTACATTTGCTAAGCCTTGGATGAGCACTGAATCATGGCAAGACTTCAAGGTCCAGACTTTAACAACAAAAACAGTATTTGACTTAAATTGGATTGGGGCAGGTGGGTTCCTCCCTTCAAGTATGCTCTTGGCAGCATGTGACAGAGTAGACAATGATATGAACACATTTGATCTTTTCATTTAAAAAAGCAGCTCAGACTAAAGTCACAGAATTACAGCACATCTGACAGCACACAGGGCGGCTGAGCGTTATGAGAAACTTGAAAAATCTGTCTGTGGCCAACTTGCTTTGGTATAATCTGTCGTTTTCATCAGGCAAGGCCATGAGTCTCCTGTGGCACGTGTGCACCGTCACAGAAACACAGTTCACTATGCAGACCGACTGAATGAAAGGTCAACGCTAACAAGGGAAGCAAAAGTTTGGAAGAAGATGTGCAAAAAGTGGATACACAGCCATGCCGAAATGTGAAATCACTGAGCTGAAGATTTACCCGGACTCTTTTGGAAAGCATTATTTAGTGTCAAATACTTATTAGTGAAAGAAAGAAAAAAGAGAAGGATCAGTATCCCAAGTACAAACATATGCAAATAAGACCTCATTTATAATATAAAAAATAGGGAATTATTACAATAAAGGGTGTTTAAGAGCAAACCTCTCATTTTAACTGCAAAGTTGCTCAAAAAGAGGTGCCATATTTAAAAATAGAGTCTAAAAACTACAGTGGACATCCTTTTGTTTTATATATTCAAAGATTAATACAATTTAAAATAGTAAAAACATGATATTATGTTAATGAAAACACTCAACCTCGTGTTGCTCCAAACCCCAATGATTTGTCTTCCTAATAGCTTGAAAAAGCAACTGCGCTCTCCATTTGTGTTGAATGTAAGAAACTCATAGATCTCAAACTCAATTCCTGGAGGGCCGCAGCTCTGCAGTTTAGCTCCAGCCCAATAAAACACAACTGATCCAAATAATCGAGTGTTCAAAAGTCACAAACTCCTTCATTAGTTGGATCTGCTGTGGTTGATCAGGGTTGGAGCAAACTGCAGAGATGCGGCCCTCCAGGAATTGAGTTGGAGACGTATGTCATAGAGGTTTAGAAAGACGTGAGGGTGAGTAAATAATGAGAGATTGTTCATTTTAGGGTGAACTCTACTTTTAAAAGTGGGTCACCATCAGGAATGAATTAGTATTATATCTCTTCAAGTCAAATGTGTGAATTTCATTACTCTATTGTTTAGTTTTATTTTAATATTTTATTCTAAAGTGATTGTGAGTTGTTTTTTTTTTTGAAGAGGAGATAAAGGGGATAATGCACTGCCATGTATTGTATTTTATAATGTTCTCCAAAGTCCTCAAATAAAATGGGTGTCCATACCTGTTTCTGATGACACTGTCCTGCTCTAATAAAACACCAGATAATCATGGTCTTCAAGCTCAGTGCGCCTGAAATCACACACTTCCCTACTATATAGTAAGAGAAAAACAGCAGACCTACATGAGCCGAGTAGCACATCCGAATTCATAGTATTCAAAAAACACAGTAGGCGATAAGGAAGGCAATGCAAAGACACTTTTCCACAGTTTTGCACAACATGTTGTTCCCCTTAAAGGAAACACTCTTGTTTTGTGGCTCCAGTAATCTTGTGTTTGCATCAAGATATACAATACTACACATGCATGAATAAGACAGTGGGGTCTTCTGCTGCACTATGGTGTAGTTGTGAGAAGAAATATTTCACAAGCCATTTAGGTAGCATGGTTTCAGTTAAAACTGTTTTAAGATTGACTAGGAAGTTTTGTGTTCTGAAATCTACAGCATGTTTTTGTTAAACAATGAGCATTTTTTTTATTATTTTTTTAACAATTCATTACCACTTAACATGTCTTTGAAAATCAGCTGTGGTAGAAAAATTTAGAGACCAACTGAAAATCATCAGTTTACAACTTACACCAGGACAATTTTCACCATTCATACCAAAACGACTGTGAACGCGCAAAATCACTCCCTGACACTAGATGGCGTTTAATGAAAAACAGAAATACTCCAGTACACAAGGTGGTGCTGCGCAATTTTACACTTTTTCACTTGTTATCCTAGTGCTGAGTTCAGACTGCATGAATTTAGCCCAGATTTTCACTCGCCGACAGGTTTTGAGATATCGTAGCCAACTGCCTAAAATCAAAGGCAAATCAGTGCAGTATCAAAAACACCATCTGGGAAAATCGACACCTGTGAGATATTTGACATGCTAAATATCTGGACCTGTCCGCAATTCAAAATTATGCTGTGTAAAATGTGTTCTGATAAAAAAAACAAAAAAACATTGGCGATTATCTACAGCCAATGAGAGAGCAGCATCCACTAGTATGGGTATCTGCAGACCAGTGGGGGGTTGGGAACAAGTTAAAAGCGCCTATTTTTAGTATATTTATATAAGAAATAGAGGAAAAGGTGTACATTTGGCAGGAGCACCCGTGTCTGTTTGACATGTCATCTGAACAAGACCACAACCGAGTCGAAAAAAAAAAGTTGCTAGAGAAGAGAAGTTGCCAATTTCTTTTAAAAGCCAGGTGAGCAAAATAAGCACATTATCTACCCCACTAAAGGCTTTTTCTCAAGCAGTTAATGACAAAAGATATACTACGTGACCTGGCGTTATTTCCATGTCATTTCCCGCCTGTTTGGTTGTGGGATGTATTTTGTGGACCAAGACGAAGTTGTCTGCGATTATCCTATTGTAAAGTTATGCAGTGTGAAACCCTGTAGCTGATCTATCTTGCAGTGTAAACATAGCAGCAACTGATCACTAGCTCATATAGTCATGCAGTGTAAAATCATCTGTGACACGACAACTTAGAAAATCATGCAGTTTGAACTCAGCATAAGCTATTCTACTTCTGTTTAGTCTCCTCCACTGCAGCACACAAACTCTTGGTCAAAAGTGTGCAGGAGAAAGTTACAAATCATGAAATAAAATGCAGTGAAATTAAATTCATCATTGAATCCTATTTGATCTGTAATTCCTCTGTGCTCAGCTACCGTTTTATACTTGAGGGCCACCAAGTTGTTTTACTGTAGCTTCAGCAGTTGAAGGCATGTAAACAAAACTCGTTGATTGGCCAGTTTTGAACTTCAAACCAAAGAATTATGCATTATGTGTGCTGTTTTGCATTTTTTTTGCACAACACCTTTTGTTTAGTCATAAACCGTTTAGCATCAGCAATAATCACAAGCAAAAACCATCCTGGTGTGCATAAGACTGTGTTCGAGTAAAATATAACATTTGTTTTATCCTGTAAATACTGATGACTTCCTAATTTAAAATAATGTCATTTAAAGCCTTTTTTTGTGCATGAAATACAGGAACAGTGTTTTTGAGGTTTTCTGACATATTTATATTCAATGTTTTAAATTCAGAAGAGTTAAGAAATCAACAGTTGGTGGAACAACCAACAAATATGCATATTTTGAACATTTGTTATTCTCTACATGTGGCTTAAAAATCTCTAAAATGACTTTGTTTTATTTGTAAATGAGTAATTGTTATCAGAAATTTATACAATAAAATAAACATTAATATTTTACTCAAACCCATAGCTAATAAATCCAGAGACATAGAGAACTTAAGCGGTCTCTTTTTCATCTACAGCTTTTATTCCAAAACAACAATTGCCTAATAAATGCTGATCACATAAGCATGTCTTTGCCTTTGAACTTAAACAATGTTTAAGTCCTCAAGAAAAAGTGGTACTTGGCTAATCCAAAATATGATTTTGAAAAGGTGTTTAATGAATTGTTCCCTGAGAGACCCTGCCCTTATTAATGGACAACTTTGTCCAGAGTTTCGATCACCATTTTACCTGTTGCTGATCTCCATCCAGACACCGCTTCAGCAGATCAAATTCTAAGCCAAACTTAGTGCCAATGTTGGGTGCAACAACCGAGTATGTTGTCCCAGGCCCTGTGAACTTCAGAAATATCTCCTTCTCAAGAGCAGATCAGTCTGGCAGGACAGACAAAGGTCTGAGGGAAAAGCACACATTCACACACACACAGGTCTGAAGACTAAAGAGGAAAAACAAAACAAACGTCAGGCCTAACGGTGATCCTCAAATTTTCAGATTTTTCCACATAGTCTTTTCAAGTAATTCTGGTTGACAAGCGCTTATCAAAAACCCTCCCTGTTGTTCCGCTCTCGTTCATCATAAAACATTAAATTCAAGACAATTTCTGCTCTAAAAGGGTAAAATAACTACAAGAGTTCCCTTGCCAAAGGAAACCCATGACATTTATACATATATATATATATATAAAAAAGAAAAACAGTCCAGCTATGCCTCAAAGCATCCATGAACAGTTCAAGTGTTGATTGACTAAAGAAAGAGCTTTAAAATCCTCATTCCACTGATTCACAGCAGAGCATTTGGGTTCTTGCCTTATGGCTTGGCTGAGGCATGTTTCATAAAACATTTTAAGAACATCTCTCGCTCATGCCAACGGGGTAGAAGTGACCTCAGAGCTGAGCTGAAGAAATGCACACCAGACCATATAAAACCTGGTCCTGTTGCTTAAGGAACTCAGATTAAGGTATTTAGAGAAACCCCTTCACCCGGAGCAGCCTTCAGATCACCTGCCTCGCAGCTTTTCCAGATGAATTAAAAACACTAATAAATTAAAAACATAAAAGTCAGATAACTGTCAAAGGCTTGCTGCCCTGTGAAAATGACTGGATGGTTCTTTTGAAAAAGCTCCAGGTAAGATGGCTGTATGTTCAGAGAGACCAGTGCATCTCGTCAAAGTTCACGGCTTCACCTAGGTTGGCATCTGTCTCCAGTAAGCTCATAATGACGGCCATGGCAGCTTCATCAGTGCTCAGAGCACCCAAACCAGGAACCCCTTCCAGATCCAGCTGAGAACTCGCCTCTGGAGGACAAGAACAGGTATATGGTGAGGGTAAGATATAAAAAGAATTACATTTAAATAAAGCAAACTACACTACCTGACAGAAGTCTTGTCACCAATCCAAGTTTTGGGAACAACAAAAAATAACTTGACTTCTAGTTGATCATTTGGATTATGCTAGATTACACTTATCTGACCAAAGTACAATATGATTATGCCTTGATTTATAATTATTTAATTAGGACAGAAAGATTTAACTTTGCTTAGACAAAAGTCTTGTCACTTAACATATATAATGTACATAAATATTACAGTATAGAATATAAAGTCATGGTGCAGTAGAAAATGTTAATATTGTGTATAACTCTCATGAGCTTGGAGGACTGCATCCATACATTTCTGCAATGACTCAAATAGCTTACTAATAAAGTCATCTGGAATGGTAAAGACAGCATTCTCGCAGGACTCCCAGAGTTTATCAAGATTCTTTGGATTCATCTTCAATGCCTTCTCCTCCATCTTACTCCAGACATGCTCAATAATGTTCATGTCTGATGACTGAGCTGGCCAATCCTGGAGCAGCTTGAACGTCTTTGCTTTCAGGAACTTTGATGTAGAGGTTGAAGTAGGAGCACTATCCTGCTGAAGAATTTGCCCTCTTTTGTGGTTTGTAACGTAATGGGCAGCCCAAATGTCTTGATACCTCAAACTGTTCACTGTTACCATCTACACAGCAGATCTCTTGCACGCCCCAATACCGAATGTAACTTTTCCAAATGATCAACTAGAAGTCAAGTTATTTTTTGTTACTCTTTCAAATAATATTAATGACAAGACTTGTCAAGTAGTGTATTTGTGTAATAGACAAAATGCGTACATTTACAAACTTCACTACAAAAGCAGCACACATTTTAAAAAATGCACTGCAATTGTCTTACAAAAATACAAATACATATAATAATTTCAATATGTTGGAATTATTTCATAAAAGTGTTCAATTTAAAAATGTGCTGCTAAGTCTTAAAAGTTAAACAACCCAAAGTAGCAACGGTTCTTGCTGTTCGGACATCAGCTGCAGATGTGAATGAATGGCGGAAATAGTTCCTCATACAAAAGGATTTTTATACTTGTGTTTGAATTTCTTTTTTCTATGTGATTATGCAGTCAAACTGATGTTTAAACACATTATCACACTCGTAGCAGTGTCATATGGCTGTATATTATCACTGGTGGCATGTGTGTGTGCCCCCAGTGACGGTATACAGCCATATCGCACTGCTACTCGTGTGATATTGCTCATATGTATGTGTGTGTGTGTGTGTGTGTGTGTGTGTGTGTGTGTGTGTGTGTGTGTGTGTGTGTGTGTGTGTGTGTGTGTGTGTATATATATATATATATATATATATATATATATATATATATATATATATATATATATATATATATATATATATATATATATATGCAGTGGAATCTGACCAAATCATACATTTAGCTTATTTTGTCATTTTTACCTTAAAAAACATTAGTCTTGTTGAAGACAATTAAAAAAACAAACAAACAATGATGTAACTTCGAAAAAAAAAAAAAAAAACATCTGGTACTTTTATCTGGAAGGCTGGGCAGATATCTTTTAGACAAACTTCTCAAACTGACTCTTTGACAAAGACATGATCAGTGTAATATAGTCATCACATTCACCCATGAGATTGTCCCCAGTTGAGAAAGGTCCGCCCCGTGCTTCTTCCTCAGAGCTTGATTTGCCAGGCATCTCCACGTCTGTTGCTTCCCCATTTGGCACCTTAAAGCATTATGAGTAATATTGTGTACATAACTCATAAAATCACAAAACACAAGAACTCATTTAAACCAACACAGACACACTCACATTGCTGCTGGCCTGCGCGAGGGCCAGTGGAGACTTGTCCTGCAGTAAACTGAACGGACTGGTATTGCCGCTGGATGGTGACGAGTTCATCCTTCACAAGAAAACAGTGTGATGTCAAAACTCAAAAATCCTTTCAGTAGGGATGTGCAGAACTATGTATTTTCAAAACAGCCTGATTTGTGCAATGTTTCCATGAATCATTACATATAAAAAAACACATGACCTTACTACATAATAATGTTGAGCATGTGCTTACTTTATATGGCTTGTAATATTTCACTGCAAGTCCTTCCAAATATAATAATGGAAAGGAAGCTAGAATAATCGGTTTACCTATTAAAGTCCATTATCTCGTTAGCGATTTGGGTCCCTATGCACCCTGCGTAAATCATGCCAGATGCACTGGAGATCCCTGGGATGATTGGAACTTGTTGGGATTTCTTGGCATCATCTGAAAAACAAAAACAGAAATATTTACTATTGGACTTTAAGGTCATGTAATAATGTGATGTGATGAGCAGCATTTTTATTAATATAAAAGATTAACAAAAGGTTGGTGGGATTATTTCTTTCTTCAAAAATGGTAAATCTTTTGCTGGTTTGCATTAAAATGTTGATTAAAAACTATTGCAAAATGAAAGCATTGTCATTAAAGATTTTCATTTTTTTAGTAGGCTATGTACTTTCTCAACTGGTTCTAAATCATTATAAATTTCTTTTTTTTTTTTTCCTGTTGAGATATGTTTGGACATAACAGATATTAAATATAACACACCCCAATATGCAATTCAATGCAAGTTAAATGTTTATATAAACTATTTGGTAACACTTTATAATAACTACACACTATGAATTATCTATTAAGAGTTAGCAAATAGTGAATTCATTGTTTGTTAAGCATTAACTCTACATTAATAGATGTTAGTAAGCAGTAAATAACTCTAGATACAAATGCTCTATTCTTGACTTAAAAGCACAATTAAAATAAGCTTAATGATCCTACTTTCGTACTTTGTTACTGATTAATTTTTCATTACTAAATTATCACATTATTTACAAATCATTTGTATTTAAGAGTAGTTGTTTTCTTTTTTTTAAATCGTTCAGAATGAGTAAGTAAATGATTAATAAACTATTCAAATCAATATTTCTATATTATTTTTCAGGCATATACTAATAGTTCATTTGTATGCATATAAAAGCTTCATTAACTCAACTTCATCCAGTTTTGTGACCTAATCTAAAGTGAGGACTATTTATGCTTTATAAATCCCTAATAAATGACCATAAAAGGCTCAGTATCAAATGAACAATACATATTTGCCATCTCATCTAAAAAGTAAAATTACTGTAAAGTTTAAACCTTGCCGAATAACAAGAGCGTCAAAATATAACATAAAACTGGATAAAACTAAAAAAATATATTAATTTAACTATATTATGATACAACCAATTAATGTTATTTAGCAAAGTTTGAACTGCACAGTAATTTTCTTTGTTAAGATTGCAAAGTCATTTGTTTTCTTTTTTTATCCTAATTCGAATATAACAGCCTTTAATTGTCATCTAGAAAGGATTTATAAAGTATAAATAGACCTCACTTTAGGCCACAAAACTGGATGAAGTTTAGTTAATAAAGCATTTATTAACATACAAAGTAACTATAATTATATGCCTGACTAATAAGATATACAAATGCTAATATGAATTGTTTGTTAATCATTTACCTACTCAGTCTGAATGAGATCTAAAAGCCACCAATTGTTCTCAAATAACTGGTAGGTAAATGATGCAATACTTAAGTAATGAAAAACATAATAAAAGTATGACAATACAATCAATAAGCACACATTAGACATGTTCTTATAAGTCAAGGACAGAGCATTAGTAGCTGCAAATATAAACTGCTTACTGCTTACTTCTGTTAATGTAGAGTTACTGCTTACCAGATTAATAAACTATTTGCTAATGCTTAACAAATTACTTCAAATGAACAGTTTAATGGGATAATCATATCAGCAATTTTGCTTGTTTTATAGATTTCAGCTGAGCTCACATATAAGTTGCCAAGCCTAGCAAACAAAAAACATATTTGTAACAATGCAAAACAACTCAACTAAACGTAATACAGAAATCTATCAAAGAGATTGGAATGGTAACCATTTATTCAAACATCTGCCACAATGAATGCTGCATGCGACTAATAAGTGCTTTGTCTTTTCCTCAATGGATGGTTTCATAATCCACTAGAAATTAAAGATGCACACCTAGAAACAAAACGAATGTACAACACGTGTAGACATCATCACTCACCTTCCGAGGCCTTGGAGCTGCTCGGCTGCTCTGCTTTATCCCCTGATCCACCTGGATTACTTTTACCGCTGAGTCAGGTAAAAAAAATTAGAGGTGATAAAATAATCGGTCAACTCAATCAAATCACAGAAATTAGACACTACAGGATAAACCAGAACTCTCAGAAAAACAAACAACTAAACACGCGCACAACAAAACACACAAAAAAAGATGATGGTACTTACGATACAACCGTGTTGGTTGACACTATGTATTCTACTTCTTTGGTCCAGGGATTTATAAAACTAAACCACTGACTTTGTAAATTGACAAAAGAGCCAGATTTTGTTTTGAACTTATAGCAGTTTGTCTCAATCTTTTCTTTACTCCTCAGCACTGTAAAAGAAGCAGTGAAAATAACATTAATATAGATCATAACCTGTCATTTTCTCACTAAATCAGACATTTCAATATCATCTGATAATTTTATCGAATAGAACACAAAGGGTTTAAATTTTTACTGATCCATTTTTTTTGCATATAAAGTAAACAGAAATCAAAATTGACCCCAAGATAAATAAATAAATAAAATAATAATAATAAAAAAAACACCATTAAAAATCCAGGAATCCAGGAAGTGTGCTTTGTACAAAAAGTTTAATTGTATCATTGCTGTTATTATTAAACAGTAATATTCAAATAGAAAAAAATGATAGAAAAAAAATTATATAGAAGCTTTACAATATTATATGTGTGCATAATTCTTCTTGTGCATAAATCTGGAGCTAATCTAACAAAATAACTTATGATAACGATCCAATATTTATACACCCAAATTTATATGTTGGCGAAAAATATGAAATAAAACATTTCAAAAGAGCAAAATTCGAGAGAAAAACAAAATAATTATAAAATGTTGTAGTTTGTATTTTTTCCAATATTTTGAATAAATTTGAAATCAATTATCTTTTCATTGCAAAAGATGTGGGTTCATATGTCCTAATGCAGAATTTATACTGTTTTAATTTACAGGTTTTAAGTGTATTATATACACTGTAGTCAGAGTGCAAATTATACATTGACTATAGGGGGGTCAGCTATGTTCACTAGCTTAATATGCATGTAATTTATTTCAATTAGCCTACATCTCACTGGATAATCAAACTTATTTAAGTTTTCAGTGGTTTGAGGAATAATGAGCTGATTCTGTCCTATACTGTAACCTCTTATTTCAACAGACGTCTCTTTTTTATAGTCAAATTGAAGGATTTTAAGCACTTTCCAGTTGCATTTTAAATGGTTCCAGCACCTTCTTGTATATTTGCATGCACATACTTCATCAAATTACATAAGATGATATTCTATAGTAGCTATAGCATAGCATATAGTATAGTATTCTAAGCCAAGTATTTTAAAAGGTATGTTTGTCCAATGCCCAATAAAGTCTCTGAAATGCTGTACAACTTAGATGTCATATTTAACCTTGAATTTATATTTATTTTAATGATCAAATTTTTCCAAATGCTAAATATCAAAGTATAGACCATTTCAATGAGGTGATGTCATTGGCCCATGAACAATTCCTGCTTATTATCAACCAATTTCATGACTGTAACAAAAGGCAATTCAATCATAACAATGTTAAAACAGCAATCATAACATTATCAATATGTGGCTCTTTTTGGAGTCTTGGAAGCTATAGAAATTCTACATGTAAAACAGGAACCGTTGGGAGCGTTGTATTTGTTTACATCCCTCAAAATGGTCTATAACATGAAACATTTTTTATTAGAAGCTACATTAAATTGAAACCAAAATGTCCAATGGGTGGCGCCAAATCTCTATTTTTGTCACCAAATTGTTCATTCAGATTCATTCAAAACGGCTTACTTATAAATGAATTAACTTATTAGGAATGACTCGCTCAAAGATTTCTTGTTAATCTCATTTATTAAGTGCTTCTTCAATGGTAATGCATTATAGTAACAATATAAGAGGTGCAAATAAAGTATGTTGCCTTTAATGTACAAGGAAAGCCACTTTAGTTTTACATTAGGCTATTTTACGCTACGGTAAATGTAGTATGGCAGCTGTTGTTCTTAACAGCTGTAAAATTAAGTTTTGTGTCTAGGTAATGAAACACAGGGCAACTTTTTGAGTAGTTTTGTTGGACAATATTCGTTGGTTGGCTAGTTTGCAGCTAAAAGGGTAAATTTAAGTTATTTTGTACAGATTTATACATGATGTGCAGTGTAGTTACCACTGTGAAACTAAAACAGGTATAGTTATGAATACGTTTTACTTAAGTACATATTTTAGGCGGTATTTCTTTACTTTTAGTTGGAGTACAAAGGTGTAGTCAGTACATCAACTTCTACCAGAGATGCTTTAAAAATGAGTATCTGTACTTCTATTTGAGTAAGGATGTGTTTAATTTTGCCATCTCTGATGTTGAACACTGTATATATTAAATAAAATGATTTTCTATACACTGATTTGTATTGTTTGCATTTTTTCAAACAAAACGTCCAAAAGCAATGTTAAAAACTCTTTTAAAACATTTCTACTTCTCTCTTTCCAAAAAAGAAATGAGTCAAATGACAGTCTTCAATGTGATCTGAAATTCACCTTTATTTGCATATGGCACATAATCCAGTTTAAACCCCAGTGAGGCTCTGGCCTCGTGTTTCTGCCATTGAAAGCTGTTGTAATGTCCTTTAGAAGCAAGACTAATGATGGATGATGGGGATTTGGCTACTCTGTACAAACGGCTGGGAAAGGAGCCAGGGTTCTTGGAAAACACTTTCAGGAAACTTTGTTTACAGCTGCAGTGTTCCTGATAGTGAGACTCTGTACCTTTTCTATGTCTTTCGGCCAGGTGCGGCAGGTCGTCCAGGTGGAAGTATTCATAGCAGGATGTTCCCAGCAGCTCCTGAGGTAAATAACCCAGAATAGTGGTGGCTCTGTGTGCACAATACAAATGGACAGCACATTTTAAAGAAATTTACCAAGGTAATAAGAAATTTAAGAAAATTTATTAACACTTTATTTTGATGGCCCATTTGAGTATTAGTAGACTGCTTAATATCTGTTGATACTGCTCTTTCAACAGACATTTAACTGACTATAAGATACTTTGCAAGTACATGTCAACTTACACTAACCATAACCCCAACGTAACAGTCTACTTATAATCTAATGAGAATTAGTTGGCATGTACATGCAATGTAACTTATATTCAAAACAACTATCAAAATAAAGTGTGACCGGAAATTCCATTATAAGAAAATACCAAGGTTCAACATGCCAATTTAAATACACCTTTTTTTCCTGGCAGTTCCTAGAGAAACAGAACTTAAAAATGAGGAAACAGTGGGCATGGCTTGTTTTTTCTACAGCACCCTAAATGGATGTAGCAAATTAGACATTTCATTCATAAAGATCTGGAAAGGGATTTTAGAAGAGTTATTACAACTTAAGACTCCTCTTTCTTACCATTTGTTTGATTAAAAATGTTTGCCACATTCATTACCTCAAAATCATGTAATCTGATCTGATTTAATAGAGAAAAACAAACAGGAAGTGCATTAGAAGTGCAAACAATTTTTGTCTTAATGACATGCACAGATGAATTGTTCACCATAAAACTGGCACTGCGAGCTAACAAAATCTTAGGGTTAGTTTTGATTTCTTGGGGACTTAAAAAAAGAAGCAACATTAACATTATTTAAAAAATAATTTAGTTTAAACAATTAAAACATTTACACTTGAATTGTAACATTAAGTTTGTTGCATAAATGTAGACATCTGCCTCTCATTTAGTTGTATAATTCAGTTTATTTTCATTTATTCATTTTCTTTTCGGCTTAGTCCCTTTAATAATCTGGGGCCGCCACGGCGGAATGAACCGCCAACTTATCCAGCATAAGTTTTACACAGCAGATGCCCTTCCAGCTGCAACCCATCACTGGGAAACATCCATACAAACTCATTCACACTTTTATAGGGGTTTAAACATTTTTTAGATAATTTTATAAATCACTAAACATAAACAAAGTTCATTACAACAAAAAAAAGAACCAATGAAAAACAACGAAATGGCTAGTAAACATCTCATAATACAATACAAAACACTTAAGAAAACATGAACTTTTAATAGAAACACTAAATTCATTCTACAATAATGCTTTTTGTTACATATTAACATCATAACAAAACATCATTTTTTACAGTGTTGTTTCTCCAAAACAAAGTTCAGTCATCTTTAACAAGTGGTAAACTAAGAAAGAAAAGACATATCGCCCTCTAGTGAGAATGAACTCCCCTGTAAAATATCCTATATACCAGGGGTGCCCAAACTTTTTCTTTTGAAGGGCCAAAAACCAAACTTGATTTAGACAACTTGAAGGTAAATATTGGTGGGGTAATTTCCTAATTTATTTAATAATGTTTTAAAATTACTAAGGAACATTGCTTTATATTAACTAATACAGTATTTTTACGTAGTACAATGAACTTATTACATTAATCTAAATCATAACAGAATCACAGTTTTTGCCTTGATGTGCTTGCCAATGCAAGACCTTTATCCGTCGAGTGTCAGTTTTTACAAAATAAAAAAAAATCGGATTCATTTACAACATTTAATTTAATCATTTAATTACTGTTTGCTTTTTTGTAGCGCAGCATTAAAACAAACAAAAAAAGTTATGTCAAATTAGAAATGACGATCTCTATGTTAATGTTATTTACCCCAGGCCTCTCCATCTTACTACCTCTTCTCTCAGATGGTATGGTGGGTCAAATTATAGGTTACAATAGGCTAACATTGGCCTGCAGGCCCTTCTTTGGGAATCTACAGTATAAACACTCAATTTTTTTATTAAAATTATTTATTGTGAGTTTTTTCGGGAGGGGGTGGGCAACTTAAGAGTTTTATGTTCCATCCACTTAGATGTGTAAAAGCGAACAAGTTAACTTAAATCCTTCATGTTGTCCAAATAAAAATGTATGTGGAACCCAGCACTTTTTTGCACTGTAGAACTATATACAATGAGCCTAGTTTTGTAAATTCACAAAAATTCACATTTATTTAACAAACCGTTGATCCACGAAGGTGAATTTGCCATCCATGGCATAGCGGGTGACGAACTCAGTGGGTTTGACCTTGATCTCTCCATTGGCCTGCGGGAGAGTGTGTGGATGAACACGGCCCATCGCTACCAGACAGCTGAAGTGGGAGCTCTCTTTATCCGCCTCGGCCTCCCCCTCAGTGGCCAGCTGACGCGTAGGCCAGGTGCGCATGTAGCCCGTGCAGTGGACGGTGCAGTACCGCTGCGACTCTGATGGGGCAGCCAATAAAAACAGGTGAGCTGATAGTCAACAGATGCACCATATGTTCTTGAAGGAGGTGTTCCGTCAAACCTGAAAATACTGACTCCCTCCCCAAGACCATCCAATATGAACGACTGGTTAAGCCAAGTGATCCTACATTTTACTCCTTCCCAATACAAGTGTAGACTCTTTTTGATGGTATAAAATCCATAATAAATCACTATGAAAGTAATTCACTCAACTCAAAACTAAAATTATGGGTAACTTACTAGACCTAATAACATTTGAAAACTACTAATGAAAACATCAGAGACTCTTTGGGAACATCTACATTCATGAGTGCTGATAAACGCAAGATGTCCTTTTTTTGTGAAATTATGATGATAAACAAAACAAAATAACAAAAATGTATAGTATACAGTATTGATGGTAGAAAAACTGACAAGCAACTTGAAAAACTGACAACTGTTTCTTTACATTTATGGACACTGTGTTTTTCCATTGCGATAACTGACACTGTCTGTTCACAGCTAACATCAAATAAGTACAATATAAGCTCTGTTGAGTCAAACATCCTGCCCATTCTACACCCTCACTTAAAATCAGACTCAACATGCAAACATGTGGTGTTGTAATAAAAACTATCATAGGTTTATTTAAAAAAATTTTTTTAATGGAATTTGTAAAAAAAAATTGAAATATAAATGCTAATATAGTGTATACTAATACTAGCAGCAGATACACTTGGTTCCAATTTACTTTATTGGAAATTGTATTTTATTATTATTCAACTCAAAAGGTGATTTAACATGAGTGTATAATAACTAGGGCTGCACAATATACAGCATATATGAGTGCACCCCTTACAAATACATCAATATTTTCTAAAGGATGCTTTACAGTATTATTTTTGTGTATGTACATTAGATTAGTCAGTACTGAAAGTAACAAAACAACTTATAAATTTGGCCTACTAATTTTGAACCATTATTATGTTAGGGAAAAATATTAAATAACATTTTTGAAAATAGAAACAAAAAACAAATACAATATACAATTTTGTTGAAATGTTGAAGCTTTTTTTTTTTGCAATATTTTGAGTGAATTTAAATGTATTATCTTTCCATTTCTAAAGATGTTCTGTGACCAAAATACTGTTTTAATGCATATACAGGTTTAATAAATTGGTTATATTCAAACACACCAAAAATATATTCCCCATATCCAATTAGAAATGGATAAAACTATTCATTTTCAAATTAGGGTATATTCGTTTATGCTGAGAACTGTATTGCGAAATTATCCCTATCGCGATAATAGTATATTCAGTATACACATAACAGACATGTGCGATAAATTACATTTACTTTATGCATTTCATTGTTTATATATATTTGGCCAATTATTTAGGGCCATTTATCTTTATCCCCACCTCCCTAGTCGTTGCTGTTGTGTTATTGTCTGGAGTGGCTCAAATGTGAACAGAGCTGAAAACAAATCAATATAAAAGATAACAGCCAATTATAGTCAGGATATTGCCTAAGGTTTTCACTTATTCATAGTCTGTTAAAGTGTTGTATGTTGTAGGCTCAATTATGTAAAAAATAAATAACTTATAATGAAAATATTTACAGTGAAACTGATGAAATAGAAAGATACTAAGGCTGAGAAAGATACTGAGTTTGAAACTGTGCTTGTGTATTTGTCTAGTAAAAGTTGACAACATTGTTTACTGTGCTGTTTGTGCCATTTTATGACATGTGCATCAGTTTTTTAACCTCAATATAAATATAATTGTACCAGTTCTGTTAAACATTATTAATATTCTACAATTCAGATGTCACATTTACCATCAATACCTGCATATTGAGACACCTTAACTTTAACCCTGCCTAAATTTGGATTTATGATTTTTTCCCCCAATCACTCGCAACTTTATAAAACTATAATTTAACTTCTTTATTTTATTTTTATATCAATATATAAATAAATGATTTATGATAACTGAGAAAATAAAAATAGCATTTTTCTAGAGAAATGTTATATCGCAAGAAATATCGTTATCGAAATTCTTAACAACCATATGGCGTATTTTTCCAGTATCGTGCAGCCCTAATAGCCATTTTTGGATTTTTAAACTAAAAGTGGTTTCTGTTATAACAGAATGATAATATTGACAGTGAAATTAAAATGATAAAATAGAAAGATGCTATAAGGTTGTTTTTGAAGCTTTGCTTGAGTATTTGTCTAGTAAAAGTTGACAGCATTGTTTGCTCTGTGCCATTTTATGACATGTGTATCATAGTTTTCGTGGTATCGTGGTTAACCTCAATACTGATATAACATACCAGCTCTGTTAAACACTATCAATATTTCACAATTTAGATGTCACATTTACCATCAATACCTGCATATTGAGACACCTTTACTTTAAACCTGCCTAAATATGGATTTATGCACTTTTTTCCCAATCACTCGCATTATATAGAGAAAGAACATTTTCCTCCAAAACCATAAGTTATTTTCAGCTTGGATGACCTGGGGGTGAGTTAATATTTACATTTTGAGGGAAACAATTCCTTTAAAGAGAAATATACACTTGTAAATGTCCTTGCCTTTTAAATTTTACTTGATTTAATCCAAAAAAAACTTACAGCCTGACAGATGAGTTTGTTTTTTGTGTTGTGCCAAATATTAAATGTAGCAAAATGTAATAAGCTTTAGCTGATTAAGACGAGAAATTTGTTATCTTAGTTATAGATGTGCATGTTATATGCAGCAATTTTATAATGCATGTTCAATGCATAATTAATGCATGGCTTTACAAGGTAACAACTAGTCAGTGAACTGCTTTGAGCAGTTTGGAAAAGACCATGCTCACCACAAACAGAAACATCAATGCTATCCAAGTCCAGACAGCACAGCAAAACACTTTCCAAAGTGCAGTCACTGTCCAACAAGTTTGTAGGGACACAGCTGTTGGAATAAAATCCCACAAGCTGTGTTCACACCACTGCATGTGGCAAAAAGCAAGACGGCGACGTGTGTAATGGAACAAATATGCAGGCCACGTCATCAACACGTCACAAAACGACAACTTCATATTTGATTTCAGCAAGAACAGACACACAAAGTTGTTCTTTTTCCGCTCATTGCTGGTCTGAAGTCAAGAAAATAGAAATTTGATTTAATATCTACTTTGTTTTCTTTCAGAACAACAATAATCAGTTCAATTGCATTAAAAACAACACTTCTGATACACTTAACGTCATCTTTGTAACTAAAATCATCTTGGGTTACAAACAACAAACACACACAAAAACCAAGATGTTTACTAAACATAGGCAACTGACCTTTCTTTTTAGATGCACCAGCCTGGAAGTCCTTTTCCTCTTTTACAGTAATTTTGTTGTACTTCATTCGGCAGAAGAACGAGCGCCGGGCTCCTGAGCAAAGCCGAGCCGATCCGACTGGGAGCTCAGCCTGCACCTGCAGCCCCGCTAAAAACACAGAGAGACACTGTATCAGAAAATGGTTCCCTGAAAAATGCATATTCTGCCATCATTATACTGATGGTGTTCCAAAAATGTCCTGAAAAACAAAATTCTACGGCTTTTTAGACATATTATTGTGGCTGTAAACAGCTTTGAGAAAAATGTGGGATGTTAAATAATGATGCAATGAATACAATGACTAACAATAAACTACAATATAGACATGCATTTAGATTTTTTTAAAACATTAGTTATTCATTAATGATGCATTAAATTGATCAAAACATTCTACAATGCAGATTCTTTACCACATAAATTATGATAGTTTTAAATGAACTATCCTAATGATCAAATACTTATGTAAATTACTATCAAGTTTTCCACAAAAAAATTCTTGTCATATTAGTTAAACAAATAAAAAACAATAGATTTTCCTAAAATATTAGAATAATTTTTGAGTGAAGACATTGAGGAAAAAATCTCCATCCCAGAAATATACTACATTTTAAAATACATCAAAATAAGAAAAATTGACATAATGTGGCACAATATTGCTTTTTTTATTTTTATTTTTTACAAATAAACATTCCTGAGCATAAAGAGGCTCTTAAAAACACAGCTTTCAAATGTTATCAGGCATAGTCATAAAGCAATGTAAGCACACAATATTCACACAGCGAGCAATGTTTATTACTGCGCAAGTATGTTTACTTTTGGCGTCTATGAGGCGCTCACGCGGATAGAGTTCAGAGGCGGACAGCTGTTCCTTCACTTTCCCAATGTCCTTTGGATGAACATAATCAAACAGACTCTGTCCAATTAACTCCGTCTGGGGAGAAAACATTCAGATGAGCAACGATCTGACTAATAGATTACGCTGACAGATCTCAACAACATCGTCATCCTCAGGTCCATCGTTAATCATCAGGCAAACACATAGCCTGTAAAATTCTTTAGAATACCCTAGCAGGTAAATGTCTATGCATAAAAACCTTATTTTATGTTTGAAGCAATCTCAAAACATACTATTAACTAAAAAACACATAATATACAATATTTGGGGTTTATTTATTCAAAGTCAATCTCTTTTTTTCTTCAGTACAACATTAATGCAGAATTTTAGTTGAAAATCTGGCACTTTGAAAGATTTAAAATATCAATGAAAAAATCATTTAAGATGCGTCCGTTTATAATGAATATCACTAAATTCAAAACATTCTTCGAGTCCTTATAGTCAAATTGTCCTACCCGACTGTAGTTCAGAGTTTTTGAAACCGATTCTGAGACAAAGACTATTTTTCCACGATCACAGCCAACCACAAAGAGAAATCCATCCGCTGCCTGGATGCAAGACAGAAAGAGAGAAATCATTTAGGCTTGTCATTTCAGTCACAAACAGTTCAAATGTGCTGCTTAAACAAAAGCTATTTTCAGAGGCTCTTCCACAAACATCAGCAATAAATTACTGTGATAATTCTTCACTTACAGCTTCAAAAAAAACTTACAATAATCAATAATGGGCTATATGCACAACTTGTGTTTTTCAGCCAATGATGAACTTCCGGTGAAAAGTTTGACTATTTTCAATTTCATAAGGTTCCTTTTACAGCATAAATGTTGTAATGCAATTCAAACATAATCAGTTAAATAGACTTGAGCATCCATTTGGTTGTTAAAGAGTAAAAAGAGACGACAGACCGTTTAAACGCAGGTGTCATCAGCAGGAGGCTAACGCAGAAACTCCATTGAAAATAGTGAGGTACAATTAATTGTCATATTTTAAAAACATGGCACAGAAAAATAGAATTTAATGCAGTGCTTCTTGTTTGGTCTGATACCCACTTTATATAGTATCTCAGCAAGGCAGTGAAGATCACTGTTTTTAAAACAAAATCTGATCTTAAACGCAGCAATTTTGTATTGGATACCAATACATCTGAAGCACCAAGGCTGGCTGGCTGAAATTAATCCGTGTGCATTTACACCGTTGGAAATTTTCTGGATTTAACATTTAGTTACGTATTTAAGCAAAACATTTAAAACATTATTAAACGACAACTGGTCAAAATAATAAAACCATATGCCATGTTTTCAGACATGTTATTGCACTTTTTTAAAAGCAGTGTTTTACCACAAAAAAGAAAAAATAAGGAATCAGGATTTGAAAAACATTAACATTTAGTCATTTAGCAGACGCTTTTATCCAAAGCGACTTACAAATGAGGACAAGGAAGCAATTTATACAACTATAAAGAAGTTCAACTATAAAGCAAGTTTCAGGTCTGTAAAGTCTAAGAAGGAAAGTATAAGTAATTTTTTTTTTTTTTGAGTACAGTTAGTGGTATATCCAGAGAGGCAATTGCAGATTAGGAAGTGGAGACTAAATAGTTGAGTTTTTAGTCGTAATGTGTAATAAACCAAAATCTGGTTTATTACACCAATTTCAACTGAAAAAATATTTAAAAATCTCTTCCTCCAAAGTGTTATTAAACAGACATTTCAGAAACTAAACTTAATACAATTTTTTTCCTTTTCTTTAAAGTAACCCTCCCCTCCTACACCAATAACCCTGTTGCAACTATATACATCTAACAGAAAATAAGAAAAAAGAATAAAGGAAAGAAAACCTACTCTTTTGGGGAAAAAAATGAATAAATAAAAATTCTGACTAAAGGTTATTGCATACTCAATCCGAAATTTTCATATGTTAATTTTGCACATTAAAAATTAATTTATCGTTTTTCGCACCCGAAAATGCCATTGTACAAGCAAAAAGCTAAATACAGAATGGCGTCATATAAGCTACAGACAACTTTGACAAACGCAGTGCATAACATATGCACATAACGGAGTAGGATAAACTTTTGTGCATAAACTAGGATGGAAACACTTTTATCAAACAAATTCCAGTATGCACATTAAAAAAGTCATTGTTTTGTTTTGGTCATTCAAAAATGTAATGTAATGTAATGTGAATTTGTATAGCGCATTTATTGTGTATGGCCATACACCCAAAGCGCTTTACAATCATGAGGGGGGGTCTCTCCACACCACCACCAGTGTGCAGCGTCCACTTGGATGATGCGACGGCAGCCACAGGACAACGGCGCCAGTGCGCTCACCACACACCAGCTATTGGTGGAGTGGAGAGACAGTGATAGAGCCAATTCGGTGGAAGGGGACACCCCTGCTGTTTTACGAGAAGTACCATGGGATTTTTAATGATCACAGAGAGTCAAGACCTCGGTTTAACGTCTCATCCGAAAGACGGCGCCCACTGACAGTGTAGTGTCCCCTTCACTTTTACTGGGGCATTAGGACTCACACACACCACAGGTTGAGCGCCCCCTGCTGGCCTCACTAACACCACTTCCAACAGCAATAGTGTTCCCTAGTGGTCTCCCATACAGGTACTGACCAGGCTCAGCCCTGCTTAGCTTCAGTGAGTAACGGGTCTTGGGCTGCAGGGTGACATGGCTGTGACAAAAAATGCTTTAACCATCTCAGTATTACTGTTATTATATTATCAATTACCTCCAGAATTGTCAAGAGCATCTGTGCTCCGTGCTCTTTGTGTGTCGGCATACAGTCTTCTGAGATGCAAGTCATTTATTAAATCAAGAAAAGATTCACACAGCTTCTCCTAACGCAACAAATTATACACATTATAATAAAAAGCATGGTCTGCTTTTGTTCTGTTGCTTCGACATGTCAACGCTGCCGCCATCTATTATAATGTCTGTAGGCAGGGGGCGTTGCAAACCAGGTGAGTCTCACTCTGTCTCACTTTTAGAGACAAACCCTTTGGAAACAGGTGATTAACAATAAAATGAACATAAAATGTTAGATCTCATTCAGCTGTCCCCCTCACTTTTAAAATGTCCGTTACGCCCCTGTCCATAGGTACTGCCAGTCTCTATTGAGGATTTGTTTACATGTGTGAATGTGTGAAGTACCACAAGCAATGTATCAAAATTTCACAGATATCCTGAAATAAAGTTTGTATTTAGGGATAATCCAGTGCAGTTCTTTGATAATGAGCTGAACTCTCCTTCTGTTACTCTTCAGTAACCGATGAACACAATATGCAGTCTATTCATCCTTCTTTTATCTACTTTGGAGAAGAGAGAGGAGGACAACTCTGAAATGTTTTGCTTTTTTTTATTATGGATTACTTTGCATTGGACTCAGTGTGCAAAGTTTGTTTGTGACAAATTTTTTGCATGTCTATGACAGAAAAATGCATATGAAAATTTCGGACTTCGGTGTGTAAAGACCTTAATTTTGACCAACTGTAATTTGCCACAATAATAAAATAAAAAAAAACTTGGAAGAAATGTAATCAGATACTGAATAAAACAATAATTATTCTCATTTTACTCAAACCCACAGCTACTGAATTCACTAAATACAAAAAGAATTTTTAAGAGCTCTCTTATTTCTTTTGCCCAAGACTGTATATTAGAAACAGCTGTAGGGCACAGCTCAGTAAAAGTGCAGAATTTACCCTCAGGACGAGGTGCTTGAGTTCATCATCTGGTAGGAATGCAGGTTTGTAATTGGCTTCTGCAAAAGAGCTGGTTGCTCCTGAAAAGCAGAGACTTCATCACACCACATACATTCATAAACACTCAGCCTTGATAAGCTTTAATAAGGCATTCAAAAACAAACAACATATTTTCAAGCTGCATATTAGTCTTAGCGCATGCTGTTCTGAGAAGCAATTATTGTTGCCAGTATATTGAGCAGGTGTGCACTACAGGTACCTTTGAGCGATTTGAGGTGCTGGACAGCCATTCGTAGCACAGTGAGTTTGTCGAGTTTACGGGACATTGGGTTACAGGTGGGAATCATCGCTGCCAACTCGTCAATCAAATTATTCATCTTATCTCGCCTTCGCTTTTCAATCTGACTGTGAGGTTCCCTAGAAGATCATATTATGACATTAGGATCACATTATGACCACTGAACTCCTACTGAGATTAAATAAAATAAACTACACAATAAACAACTTTAGTGTTTGAGTTACGACATGAGATGAAGGGGGAATATAAATAAATGGTGTCACAAACAAAGCGGGCATGATAATTATAATCATAATAATTATAATAATTAATGAAATAAGTAATTATTAAATCCTTTATTACAAATAACATGCAACTTAAGGGACAATAAATGTATGACTAAAAATAGATAAATATATAAATGATAACAATAAAAGAGATTTTAAACCAAATATTAGTTGTTTATTAGTTTAAATAACCAATAATAAATAATAATAATAATAATAATAATAGTAATAATAACAAAACAATTAAAAATATATTAACAACAGCAAAAATAACAATCTTAAAAAGGCAACAAAAAAAATAAGTAGATAATTTATTATATTCGATGTTAAATAAAACATGGAACGAATGAAGTAATGGATGAATTAATGAAGGGATATAAATTAAATAATATTATTATGATTTATATTTATATTGGTATTTAAAGCATCCAAATTCTTTACATTTTAAATTGACGATACTTAAGTTTAATGATTTGGTTAAATTTAAAACAGCACAATTTATAATATAATAATAATTTACTTCCAAAATGCATACAAAAGATTTTTGAAGAAAGATAAGGGGGGTATAATCTGACATACAAAAAGTTTTAGAAGGTTGAAAACAAGGACAACTTTAAAAAGTTTGTGTATGTCTGTCTGTGTGTTGTGGAACGATGGAACAGTCTAGAACATACTCTCAAACAATATCAGGATAATAATCAATTTAAAAAGTTGTATAAATATATATATATATATATATATATATATTTAAAGGAGTATAATGATGAAGGTGATTGAAAAAGGACCAAAGAAAGGCATGATGAATTTTAATGAATGGCTATTTGCAGTACTGTTTTTTTTTCTGTGGGTCTATGTTACAAAATGTAAAGGTACACATGGAATCAAACATATAATTTGTCAAAGATGCCAAAAGGATAAAATGTCTCATGTAAAAAGAAGAGATAAGTAAAACAGGAAATAAGTTTATGTAATGGACATATGATGCATGTGGTAATGGGGTGGGAAAATAATAAGCTTGTGCTTCATCCCACTCCATTTTCGAGTTGAATTGTATTTTTTTTATATGATATTTTATGTATAATATTTCTGTTTGAAAATAAATAAATTAAATTAAAATTAAATCAATAATAATAATAACAATAATAATAATAATAATAATAAATTAAAAATTCTTAGTAACAAGTACCTGATGCACTTAATTTTTAAGTGCTGGTCATCTTCCGATCTAAGCAATAGAATAATAAAAAACACATTAACATTTTGAAAACGACTGAGAAAACAAAATTAAGATGAGCCATGCTGAGTTTCAGTAATGGATGCAGCACCTTCCCGCATCGTCCTCCATATCCTCATCTAGATTTGATGCAGATTTCATTTCCCTGCAAAACAAAGTGGTGAAATGATTAAAGTGAGTCATGAAATGCTGGACATCACACACAGACCACGCACTTCCCATTCCAACGCACAAAACAGGCCAAACAAGAGGATATTAATCACAAATCAGCAACAAAATTCTAATATCTAACAATAATGTGTTATACACCGACATAAAAGCTCTCCTGACTGAGCCGTATGCTGGTCTAAAGTGTATATAAGCATCGATGTTGGAAAGAAATATTATTTTAATAAAGGTTCCAAAAAAGTGCATTGATACAGCAATCAGATAATGTCAATGTCTTTCCAAACAGGAGATCAGTTGTTTATGACATTAGATTTTACCATAGATTTAAATGCAGCCAATCAGAAAAAGATTATTGACCCATTTAATCATTATGTATTAATGTCACAAGGTTCCAGATGTTTTTGAACAGCTAAAATACTCATTAACAAATTACATACATCAAGTTCAAATTAAACAAGAAAAATATACAAATACAGATAAAATACAGTAATTTTTAATATATTATAATACTATACATAAGTAATTTTATGTACTCAGGCTGTATGTATTTGATCTAAAACATGGTGAAAACTTATATAATAACAATGCAATTTATTTCTGTAATTTAAAGACATTATAACTCCAGTCTTTAGAGTGACATTTTCCTTTATGAATTATTGTAATACCATGATTATGTGATACCGTGTCTCTGTTATGATCAATTATTATGGTGTTCATTTCCGTCAGCAATAATGGTCCTTATTATTCGTTTTCCCTCCTTTATATGTTTGTGGAAATGCATATACATTTCCCTTACAAGATTCTTTCATCAGCAGAACAATAAAGAAAAACTGAAACTCTTTATGATCACTTTTGTTCACTATCCAGTTTTTAAAGGAATCTGGTAAATGGTAACATCAAGATTTTAAGAGAAATATGAAGAACATTTTTTTCAACATTGATAATAATCAGAAACATTTCTTGAGCTTTATGAGCTTTAGCTTATGATGCTAAAAATCCAATTACAAAACACTGGAATAAGTTGTGCTTCATTTCACCAAGAAAATTATTAGTTTAAATAAAAATTTTCCCCCCATAATATTACTTATTTCATTGCATTTTCAATTAAATAAATGATGCCTTGATGCAGGCCCAGATTAAGAACTCAGGGGCCCCTGGGCACATTGTCTTGTAAGGCCCCCTACCTGGCCGCATCCCTATAGTTAAACTAATAAAATAAGAATAATATAATAATTTTTAAATAGAATGAACCTATAATTTGTTGCCCACATATTTAAATAAATGATATATAGTACATATGTATTTATAGTCTACAAAGATTTAACTTATTTTTCAAAGCATTGAATAAAAATACTAATAAAACTAGTAAAAATTAATGTTTTTTAGTATACTTGTTCAAGTTCACTAAAACAGTACTATATATATAATATAGTACTAATACTATATTATTATATTAGTACTAATATATATATATATATATATATATATATATATTATAGAATTTTTAATGGGTATTTTAATGCATTGCTTTTACAAACGCATAAAGCATATTATTGGCATGGCACATAACACACAATGCCTCTCCAATCTAGTTCTATGAATCTGAGTCTTTCATAATACACACACTTGTTAATGATTTACTGTCTCTCTCCTCCTCTCCCTGTATTTTCCCTCGTGATGAAGACTATAGGCAAACAGCATAGAACAACTTGATTATAAACCTAAAGTATCCAAAATGCACACACTATACCTCTTATCTCCCGTCTCTCTCTCTCTCTCTCTCTCTCTCTCTCTCTCTCTCTCTCTCTCTCTCTCTCTCTCTCTCTCTCTCTCTCTCTCTCTCTCTCTCTCTGCCTGGTTAATGCTACCTTACTCATTTAACTTTACCAAAACGTCGTCCTCTATACCCGCATTTTCCTGATCATGGGTCTGTTTGAAGAAGGTGTGTTTGGAAAATGCCTCAATAAGGATGCCTCATCTCCTCTTTCTCTCGCGTTTGCTAAATCCACTTGTTCACTAATTTTTTATCTATGACAAAATACTAATATTACACTACAGTCCGCTCAGTTAAGTGCGGGTTATTTCAAAACTGACGTTTCCGCGCTTGACCAATTACAGCATTCTGTTTAGTTAAAGAAGACAATTTAAATATAATAATAATATTAATGTGATAGGAATTTTTTTTGCTCAGAGGAAATACAGTTGTCTGAGCAAAATAGTTTTTACAGAGAGGGAGGCACCTTTATTAAGGCTAAACATTATTAAATACCCACGAGGCACATGTGACTTTAATGCACACTTGCATTATTTATTAAAAATGTTTCCTTACTGTTAAAAATAAATATATTTCCAATCTAATATGTTAAGGGGAGACAAAAAAGTAGCACAAGTTCAGCTGATGGTGGATTCGAAACGGGTTGATCAATCGCGTCAAAAGATGTTGCTGTGCGTTTTAAGAGGTCATGTTGTCTATGTCAATCAGGCACCGACAGGCGTAAACCCTGAACAGCCTATTCCAACTAGGTGCGCTATTTGCAATTAGCCTAATAAAAAGACACTCTGAAAAAGTCATTTTTTCCTCGCCCTCACAGGAGCCCCCAAGTGCGCACGGGCCCCTTGGCCTGTGCCCATATGGCCAATTCGTTAATCCGGCCCTGCCTTGATGAGAAGAAGAGAAATCAAGTATAAAAAAGTGCCTCCACTCGACACAAATAGAAACACATGTATACACACTCTTCTACAGTTATCAACATTTGAAGCGAATCAAAAATGCCTTGCCTTTTTAACCTAACTTTAACCTAAAAAGTGAACATTGACTTGCCTAATTAACCTAGTTAAGCATTAAAATTGCACTTTAAGATGACTACTAGTGTCTTGAAAAATTTGTCATAAAATTTTATGTATTGTCATCGTGGCAAAGATAAAAGAAATCAGTCATTAAAACTATTACATTTAGAAATGTGTGGGGAAAACCATCTCCGTTAAACAGAAATTGGGTTAAAAATATATAGGGGGTAATAATTCATGACAGCTGATAATTTTGACTTTAACTGTATACAGATCAATAAACAGACAGACAGACAGATATATGGATTGACGGATGGATGGATATATAGATGGATGGATATGCGTGGTTATATCGATAGATGGATGAACAGATGCTGGATGAAGGATAAGAGTAACAGACAGACAGGCCAACTGACAGACAGACAGACAGAACAATGGATGAATGGATGGATGGATGGGAAGGGATAAGATAGACAGACAGACAGACGGACAAATGGACGGATAGATGGGTATTTGGATAGATAGATTGCGGATGAAGGATAGACAGACAGGATACACAGACAGAACGATAAATAGAACGATAGATAGATAGAATGATAGATAGAACACAATAGAACGACAGATAGATAGATAGATAGATAGATAGATAGATAGATAGATAGATAGATAGATAGATAGATAGATAGATAGATAGATAGATAGATAGATAGATAGATAGATAGATAGAATAAAACGATTAGATAGACAGAGACAGATAGGTAGATTAAAATGGATTAGACAGACAGACAGACAGACAGACAGACAGACAGACAGACAGACAGACAGATAGATAGATAGACAGACAGACATCTGACTGTACTGACAGGTTGTCCATGCTGCCTTTCCTCTTCCTGGGCAGCTCCATGAGGCTTGAGGCTGATGTGGGGGTCATCAAACCAGACAAAGACGCAGAGAGACCCTGAGGCTCCTCCTCCAGCACATCTCCTGTCATCAGACACACACACACACACACTATTCAGTAAATGACAAACAGAAACGTGCTGAACAAGCCGAAAAAGAAGCAACGTGCCACATATCAGAACCAGGCCACAGTGGAGTAGATTTCATAACAGACATGGAAAGAATCAGACCATCTGTAATTGGCGCACAAGCAGTCAAAGGAGTTTTGTGTGAATTCAGAGTGATACTTTTTGTCTGAATGACGACTTAAATAATAAACAGGACATTTTTTTTAAAGTTCGTCACAAGAAAAAAAAAAAAAAAAGGTGTCATCTTAAAACCCAGAAACCTATTTTACACCTGGTTCTTAGAAATATACAGGAAGTTCACTTGCAACAATGAGGAACTTTACAGACAACCTACTTCACCACTGCGACAACCTGCATCTCCCTTTCTTTCATGCTCATCAACTGGTTCAATCAGACAAACAGGAATCAATTTAACATACAGGCACTGGCTTCTTGTAAAAATGATGAGTGGACCACTTTATTTGCATAACATCCAGTTTTGACCAATGAGGTCAAAAAAGCACAAAGAACATATTATGTATCCTGTTACTAATGAACAAACATATATACACGCAGTTGAAGTCAGAATTATTAGCCCTCCTGTAAATTTTATTCTTCAATTTCTGTTTAATGAAGAGAAGATTTAACATTTCTAAGCATAATAGTTTTAATAACTCATTTCTAATAACTGAATTATTTTATCTTTGTCAGGATGACAGTAAATAATAATTTACTAGATATTTTTAAGACACTTCTATACAGCTTAAAGTGACATTTAAAAGCTTAAATAGGTTATTTAGGTTAACTAGGCAGGTTAGGGTAATTAGGCAAGTCATTGTATAATGATGGTTTGTTCTGTAAACTATCGAACAAAAATATAGCTTAAAGAGGCTAATAATTTTGTCCTTAAATGTTTTTTTTTAAAAATTAAAAACTGCTTTTATTCTAGCTAAAAAAAGACAAATAAGACTTTCTTCAGAAGAAAAAATGTTACCAGACATACTGTATAAATTTAAACATCATTTGGAAAGTAAAAAAAATAATTTAAAAAATCAAAGTGGGGCTAATAATTCTGACACACAATAGGGCTTCACAATCGTTTCAGCATCGACATCTCAATGTGATTGTTCACAGTCACGAGTAAACGCAATGGTGAGTCTGGATTATAATTTATAATTTTGCAAGTGTTTTTTGAGGCCTGACTGTGTGAGGGTTTTAAAAGCATTCAGACATACTGTTTGTAACTTTAACAAAAACTTATAACGAGTCATTTTATTAAATTGTTAATAAAACAAAGACTACGCAATGTTGTTTTACAATTGTTTATGCAATTACTGCATACCTGAATACAGTTCAACTCCTCTGAAAACAAAACACAGTTTATGTCAATTATATCCTTTTCTTTATTGAATTTATCTATAGTTGTAGATTGTTTCTAATATTTTATGCATATGCACTCCCCTACAGAATCATCCTAATCAATCTAAAATTATAGATTCTTTACAACCTTTATTCAATATACATAAATGAATAAAAAATTATTGCAATGTAAAATTTTCCCAATGTCATGCAGCCCTAACTGTACAATTATCATGAACAAATAATTATAATATTTTTTTTAAATTAATGAAATAACTAAATTGAAACCGGTAAAAACTTTATATGTATTGGTTTTGTATTGATTTTATCAATTCATATGATTATAGAGATGATTATCAATAACAATACTGAAAAAACATTTATTAAAATAAAAAGATCACTATTGACCTTAAGCAGATTATGAAAATGATCATATAAATGATGGCAATGAACTTAAATGGAAAAAAAGTCAATTACAAATAGAAATAATTATCATATAAAAATTAATAGATTATAATTTTCACATAAAAAACTCATTTGCTGGTTCCTTCAGACCCACAGGAATCAGTTTAAAATACAAGCTTTTTTTTTTTTGGACAAATGACAAGGCTTTATGGAAGTGGGGCTGGTTTTATTTATATAACATCCAGGCTTGACAATTGAGGACAGAACAGCAGTGTCAAACACCAGGATTCGCTGAATTTCAAGCAGCTTTTGGATTTCTGGATTTTGGCATAAGTCACAGAGCAGGATTTAGTTATAGTTGGAAATTAAAGCCAAGGACTCTGCTTGACGAAATATCTTTAATTCAATTTTGGTTTTTCCTTTATTTAACACAGAAACAACAGGCCTAGTGTGATTATTAAAATAGAGAAGAGTGCATATTAAACTAATATATTCAAAGTGGAGAAGCAAAAGCTCCACACAAACTCTATCAGGCGGCTTGCTTCAATTAAACGTGCTTCACAAATGCAACAAGAACAAAAGGTTATTAGATTTTTCTTCATTTGCGCACTTAAAAATATTGTTTTCCAGTTATAAGCATTTCAATAAAATAGACCAGCTGGGAGACACAAGAAGAGGGATCACAACATAAAAACATAGAAAACATATTTAGGCATATGATAACTGTTTTCAAGGTATACTATGGTTTGGAAAAGTCAAGGTTTTAAAACAGGCAAAATACTCTGTTATGTTTTCTGTTATACACCTAAGGGGTGTATGTATTTTTTGTACATGTTTAGTAGAACTATTTTATTATATTTTTTGGGGGCAAGAGTATCTGCAGCTGAAAAGGACCCTCCACATCAAAAAATACTGTTCCAAAATGCTTTAAACGTTTCTTAAAATAAAATAGAATGTTACAATACCATGATATTTTGTACAATACCATGATATTTTTATCCAAGGTTATCATACCGTCAAAATATTATAGCGGCTCATGCTTAAACATATTAATGGATACTTTTGTAAGCTACAAATACAAACTTGGATTTTCACCGAAATTTTTAGTTTAAATCATCCATTAAGAAATTTAAACAAAGATTTTTTTTCTACTGTGTGATAAAATTTAACAATACAACTACATTTTTAATTTGATCAAACAATAATTTCATATAAAAAAGAAACATTTTATTAAAGATAATAAATGAAACTTACTATAGAACTATATAGTTATTATTCATTTATTTTCCATTGGATTAATGCCTTTTATTGATTGGGGATCGCCACAGTGGACTGAACCGGCAACTCATCCAGCATATGTTTTATGAAGCGGATGCCCTTCAAGCTGCCCTTCAAACTCTCACATTCACACACTCACTCATTAACTACGGCCAATTTAGCTTATTCAATTCACCAATAGAGCATGTCTTTGGACTTGTTGGAGGAGCACCCGGAAGAAACCCATGCCAACACAGGGACTCGTGGAGAACATGCAAACTCCACACAGAAACACCAACTGGCCCAGCTGGGACTTAAACCAGTGACCTTTTTGCAGTGAGGTGACAGTGCTAACCACTGAGCTGCCCTTTTTCTACTATTGAAATAATGAAAAAGAATAAAATGTTTTGTATTTATTTTTTCAATGTAAAATTGTTATTCATTACTTTACAATCATTTGACATACTACTACTTACAATAGTATTAACTATAAAACTTTTATTTTAATATTATTAATATTATTAGTAGTAGTAGTAGTAGTAGGCATGGGCCGGTAATAAGACTCAGACTCTTTACAATTTAAAACAGTCTCTTTGGATATCGATTTTATCGGTTGTGTCGGTAAACAGATATCATCTCATGCCCAACTTAAGTAGCAGTAGTAGTAGTAATAGTTGTGGCTATAGTGTTGATGGTAGAACTTATTACAACAAAAATTATTAATATAAAAATGAAAGCATTCTTTAGAAATGCCCTACACTGTTTTTAAAATCATTATTATTTGAATTATGAATATCATAAAATAATAAATGTTACTGTACATTTTAATTTTCATTACGGTAAACAAAGTAACAACTAGTTTATGCAGTACTACAATGCCTGTGCCAAAGCAAATAAAAACAAACTCCTGACTTCACATGTGAACTGCTCATCACATTGCAGTCTAAATCCCAGCCACAGCATTAGTTTAAAAAAAGAACCACGATACGATTTTCTTCAATCAAACTCCACAGCTCTATCTGCCACCAACACACATAATGAAGCGGACTTTGCCATCTGTTAGTGCCATTGACCACCGTAATCCATTCACAAACTCCCTGTGAGTAGAGCAACTAATTCATGAAGAGGCTTTCACGACGCAGTCTGTTTTCCCTGCTGCTTCACCTGCTGCTTTAAGCCTCAAAGATCAACAGCACCTCATCAGGCCTGATCTGCATCTGCCCGATCTGTACACACGTGCACCTACTCACTCTGTGTGTGTGTGTGTGTGTGTGTGTGTGTGTGTGTGTACGTGTGTATGTATGTGTGCGGTTACAAAGCCATCAGGTTCAGGCGACAATGGAGCAGGCCAGGCCAAACACAGCTTGTGCCCCTGGCTCCTATATTTAACAGTGCTCCGTGGGCCCAGTGACCTAAATAGTCGTTAACAGATCGGCAACAACCTGATTTTTAATCCCGTGTGCTGGAGTGAAGATCTGCGGCAGGATTATTTGGTTTTATGAGGCCGATAGGAAGGCCGAATCCAACAGAGAAGAGCTCCATCTTTCACTAGTTCATGATATTACCTGCACTCCACTGACCTGCATTCAGATGCTAACGCTCCTGACGTCACTTCCACAAGAGAAAGGCCATTTCACTGACTCACGGCTTGTAATGTTGTGAGGATTTTCCAGGATGGCACTAATAACCGAAGCATTCAAATGCTTTAAAAGATTACCCTCTCAACTTAAACATTCATCTGATCTTATACCTAAATGACAACGTTCAATTGGAAGACTACCAGCCAGGGTTAAAAGTCTTTAAACAAAATGTTTCATTGATATTGTCAACGGTTTGGAACTGCCAACACATCAACAAACACAACAGCCAATGAAATTGCGGTATTTATAAAAGCAATTTATGTTGATGCAGACATTTTTTAGACCTGCTTGCTTTCCATAACGAAAAACTGAACCA